TGAGGTCACAATTTTTGTCCGATTTCGATGAAACTTAAATATATATCTTTATATCCCAAAGATCTCAGCCCCTTTCGATATTCGCGCATTTCAGACCATAAGTTCTTGGATTATGGCTTCTGATTGTACGAAAAATCGCTTTTTTTTCTTTTTTTTTTGCTTGTTCTCTATCCATCTCTTACAAAATGTGGGCGTATCTTGCCTGGCAGCCGCTGGTTTTCCAACATGCTGGACGTCTTTGACTAGTCATGAAGTGAAACTCTATTGCTAATGTCATCTATTTTATACTTATAATAATCGCCCCTGACTTCATGCAGTTCAGAGATTTTTAAATTTGAAAAATTACCGGTTTTGAGGTTTGACTCGGTAGCCGTATTAACTATAGGTACCTTATTATTTTTAGACAAATAAAGAACAACTGTAACCTTGATATTTTTGAGAGAAAAAGACGGATATATACTCTTCAAAAAAAAGTAGGGGATATTAAAATGCAAATACCTATGCAGGTTGTGATATGATAAATAGTCATGGACACTTGACATGCTTTGAGAGTATGTTCACAAATGAAGAACTTATCGCCCCAACAGAACCACTGAGCTGCATGTGCCACACGCAATAGCGCCATACGCGTGGGAGGGGTTCATTGTCAAAGTTGCCACTTCAAGGAAGGGTTGATGAAAACTGCCGCTTGCTGGTTTATCCTATCCATGTTTGCTTTCCTATCGGTTCTCGCATAAGATTTACTGTTTAGCGTATCTTTTCTTCAGTGTGTTACGTTTAATTTGATCGGGAGACGTGTTCGTCGACGTCAACGGACAAAACTGCAAGAATTGGCCGTGGCACTGCAAGAGGAGTGGGTCAGATTGCCCCAAATCGTGATTGGACGGTTGATCAGGAGCATCCCACGACGAATTGCTGAATGTCTGAGGATTGGTGGAGCAATTACTCATTATTAAGACGAAAACCAACCAGCGACTGCCAGGAAGGATACGCCCACATTTTGCAAGAGATGGATAGACAACAAGCTAAACAAAACGCGATTTTTCGTACAATCAGGGGCCATAATTCAGGAAGTTACGATCCGATATGCGCAAATATCGAAAGGAACCAAGATCTTTGGGTTATAAACTTACATTTCAAGTTTCATCAAAATCAGAAGAAAATTGTGACCTGAACGGCTGAAGCAAACAAGGCGACCCTTCGCACAATCAGGGGCCATAATTCAGGAAGTTATGATCCGATATGCGCGAATATCGAAAGGAACCAAGATCTTTGGGTTATAAACATGTATTTAAAGTTTCATCAAAATCGGATCAAAATTGTGTCCTCTCTCTAGAGAGTCCAAAACCTTGATATACCATATATTTACAATATTTGCGTACGAGGGGCAGCCATTTTGTCCGGCAGTTTTGGTCCGATTTGTACGAAATTCAGACTCATCCATCATAAGGGTGAAGCAGTGATATATTCAAACGTTTTTATAAATCGGATAAAAATTGTGAGATCTAGAGGAATCACATCCTTAAAACGCTACTTTTCGCACAATCAAGGGCCATAATTCAGGAAGTTATGATCCAATATGTGCGAATATCGAAAGGAACCAAGATCTTTGGGTTATAAATATGTATTTCAAGTTTCATCAAAATCAGATCAAAATTTCAAGTTTCAACAAAATCGGATAAGACTTGTGACCTATATAGGGTCCACAACCTTGATATACCATATTTTTCAGTTTGAAAACGAACAGCGGCCATTTTGTCTGTCAATTTTGGGCCGATTGTCACAAAATACGAACTCTGCCGTCCTTAGCCCGAATCAAACAGGTTTGATATATTCGGCCGAATATTTATTCGGGCGAATTATATTCGCCTGGTGTGTCCGCTTCGCCGAAGCATTCGACCGAATATAGAATTCATTAGCCAATCACCACTCATATCGAGAAGTCACGTGATAGATTGAAGACATCGACGCCGCCATGTTTAATCATGTGACGTGAAAGGTGATGCAATCGGCAGGTTGAATCGGGCGAAGCATTCGGCTAGTGTGTCCACCCATTCGGCCGATTGATTTGGCCGAATAAAATTCGGCCGAATGATTCGGCCGAACGATTCAGCTAATGTGTCCACTGCTTTAGGGTGTAAAGGTGATATAATAATACGTGTTTTTAAATCGGATAAAAATTATGACCTCTATAGGGTCCACAAGCTAAAACCGCGATTTTTCTTACAATCAGGGGCCATAATTCAGGAAGTTATATTCCGATATGCGCGAATATCGAAAGGAACCAAGATCTTTGGGTTATAAACTTACATTTCAAGTTTCAACAAAATCGGATTAAAATTGTGACCTCTATAGGGTCCACAACCTTGATATACCATATTTTTACACTATTTGAGAACGATGGCGGCCATTTTGTCTGTCAATTTTGGGCCAATTTTCACGAAATTCGAACTCAGCCGTCCTTAGGGTGTAACGGTGATAATATAATACTTTTTTTTTTAAATCGGATAAAAATTATGACCTCTATAGGGTCCACAAGCTAAAAACGCGATTTTTCGTACAATCAGGGGCCATAATTCAGGAAGTTACGGCCCGATATGGGTAAATATCGAAAGGAACCGAGATCTTTGGGTTATAAAATTACATTTCAAGTTTCAACAAAATCGGACAAGAATTGTGACCTATATAGGGTCCACAACCTTGATATACCATATTTTTACGCTATTTGAGAACGATGGCGGTCATTTTGTCTGTCAATTTTGGGCCGATTTTCACGAAATTCGAACTCAGCCGTCCTTAGGGTGTATTGGTGATATAATAAAATGTTTTTTTTTAAATCGGATAAAAATTATGACCTCTATAGGGTCCACAAGCTAAAAACGCGATTTTTCGTACAATCAGGGGTCATAATTCAGGAAGTTACGGTCTGATATGCGCGAATATAGAAAAGAACCGAGATCTTTGGGTTATAAACTTACATTTCAAGTTTCAACAAAATCGGATAAAAATTGTGACCTCTATAGGGTCCACAACCTTGATATACCATATTTTTACGCTATTTGAGAACGAACGGCGGCCATTTTGTCTGTCAATTTTGGGCCGATTTTCACGAAATTCGAACTCAGTCGTCCTTAGGGTGTAACGGTGATATAATAATACGTTTTTTTTTTTTAAATCGGATTAAAAAAATGACCTCTATAGGGTCCACAAGCTAAAAACGCGATTTTTCGTACAATCAGGGGGCATAATTCAGGAAGTTACGGTCCAATATGCGCGAATATCGAAAGGAACTGAGATCTTTGGGTTATAAACTTATATTTCAAGTTTCAACAAAATCGAATAAAAATTGTGACCTCTATAGGGTCCACAAGCTAAAAACGTGACTTTTCGTACAAACAGGGGCCATAATCCATGAAGTTTCGATCCGATACATGCCATTATCGAAAGCAGTCGAGATCTTTTGGGGATAAACCTATATTTCAAGTTTCGTCAAAATCGGACAAGAATTGTGACCTGTGGAGAGTCCACAAATAAATTGTGGACGTCCGGACGGACAGGGGCGACGACAATATACGTCCACTTGAAAATGTGGGCGTATAAAAACGTCCATTTTCACTTTTGACAGTGTATCTCTTTGCGAGTGAAATGGGGCCGTCAGATAAGCCGCCCATGTGAACTGTTTATGTTCATGATGTGTAGGCAATTGGCCTGTTATTAACATACACTGGTTACCTCTAATAAAAACAGCAGTGCATTTCCGCAGTTTTGTATTGTTTCTGAATATCCCCTACTTTTTTTTTGGGGGGGGGGGAGAGTCTATTATACTACTTATGTCTCCCATCTTGCTCCAGACGCAGTAACAGTAGTATCTTAATAAGGACTTCTCTGAACACGTTTTGTCATCATTTGATGACAAAAGAGTTACTGGCCTATAACTCCCATAATTTCCAGTTAAACTTACCTCAAACTGCACTGCACATATCTTAAATAATAGACCAATTCCCAATTCCCATTGAATTAAAGGTGAAACATAGCCTACCGCATAAATTAGAACACGCACGTGATTTCACGTCACCTTGAAAATATACAAAAACTGTTCAGTAAGATACGATTCAGATTCAGTGTTCCACTCTTCACTACTTGTAAAATAATTACTTATTTCCATGCAAACTGTGATATGTGTTGAGAATGTTGCAATTTAAGCTACTTATACTTGCGCAAAGGCTCGTAGTGTGTATCAGCTTAGTTGTAGCCGTCAGAACACCAAATCAAAGATTTACAATATATTGGCAGTTCGAAAGCTCTCCAACAGCGTGGTTCACGAAGGAAATAAAAAAAAAATGAGGTTCGAAATGAGAGCAAGGAATCAGGCATAAAGAGTGTCGACCCTGAAATCAATGGGATTAATTTTTTTTCTCAGAATTTGCGGTAAAGGTGCTAAAACCTTATTGACGATATTATGATAAATATTTGGTTCCTTATAATTAGGATGATTTCAAATGGACCCAGAATTTGCGAAATAAGAGTTAATGATAAATAAAATGTGTGTAATTTTTTATAGAGCCAATTGCTATCCGCCTCGCCCTCACCTCCCTCGCCCTCTCCCACCGAGCATAGAGTCTATTATACCAGCCCATTCCAGACTCCAGTGATGGCGTGGCGGCCCGGCCGTTAAAGCCACCGGCCATATACAACATGATCATCATCGCCCCCCATATAATGTTCAGCAGAAAAAAGGTTTTTTAGACGAATTGGACAAAAATATTTTTTTCATTTTTTGTCCGACCGGCCCTTCGGGCGATCACCCCACCCCTGATAATAAGGCTATGTTGCCACAGAGCTCTATGGTCACATTGACCAGTATTCGCTTAAGATGGCTTTTGCAATACCGCTGGGAAACAGATTGCTCTTTTGGTGCAAAGCCAAACCCCGATACCGTTCAATCGGGTCACGATGTAAGGGAGGCAACTACGAATTTCTTCGGTTTATCATCTCCCTTGATTTCTGTTATTATTGAAGAATGCACGTGTTGAAGAATGACAGATAGAAAGGGGATTACTGATTACAATGTTGGAGTATAGAAAATTATCGTAGAAATGGACTGTGCAAAGAATGAGTAGGCTATCCCGTCTAACTTAATCATATTACAGCAGATGGAAGCTAACATATATCATTAAGATTAAGAGACTAAAAAAATAAGAAAAGCCAAAAGGTGTATATTATATTTATAGGCTATTATTATTTTTTTTAGTTCGGTTCCTTAAAAAAAGGTGATGTACTTCAAGTATTTACATCTCATCTCAGCAATGACATGAAATGAAGTACTGAATGAAATAGGTTTTAATATCCTACTTTTCTATAGGCTACCTATTGGGCATAGGCCTACGCCCTATAGTTCAGCTCTGAATGTAGGTCTCATTGTATTGCAGTCGCATTATACAGGGCGAGAGTAATGAGACCTATATACGTTCAGAGTGCTGAACTACCTTATAGTGTGCTATAAGGGAAATTGTGCCCGGTCAGCAATTATATTCCAACTGTCAGAGTTCTTTTACGTGCACTCCGATGTATAGCACACTGACAGAGGAGCTGGTTTTCATTCCATCAGACTAACTACTATAGGCACTGTCCTTGCGAGGCCCATATATGTCCTGCATAACTGTCTGACGAGTTGGAAATTCGCTGCCAGTACTGTGATTAGTGTGATCGATCCAGGACCTCAGTGTTAGCGAGCCACTGCGTTGCCGAGCAATGGCTTAGCAGATTTGTCTTAAGACTACAGTATACTATGGTACCAGTAGGCCTATCTTTGAATACAATGTAATCGTTTTGTCAATGTCAAATCAGATTCCACTTTAAAAGGCCAGAGAACCTAGCCGATGCAGATTTTGGAGTTATAATTTTGGATTATTATTAGGATAGAGACTATAAAGATTATCATAACAGTTTGGTCACTTAATATGGGAGGGCTTTTTTGTCGTGTTTTAAAGAATATTCTGAACAAACAATTCTTCAAGAATAATGCTTTTCATGTCAAACACTTACAACTTGTAATTACAAGTCATAAACTGCTTGTATTTTTCGAATAATATCTGATGTACCAGTAGTCAGATTTATTAACATTTAAGTAAGAAAACAAAATCTCCAGGCATGGATTAAATTAGATTAAAAAGAGGCACAGCAATATTGAAGTTTGCGATACAGGCCCCTGTAACGTGGAAAATTTCTTTCAAAAATAAAATTGAGTTATGACTAAGTATGATGTCTATAGTCTATTATGTTAAATTCATGTTTGTAATTGACATTATCGAATTCAAGAGCAAATAACTCATCTTAAACCAGTTCTCTATCAGTAGTCCTAGATATGATTATAATATACAAACGTGAGTTACTCACTGACAACGAAAGATGTGATCTAAGTCAACTACACTACATTTGGTCAATCACTTTTGCTAGCTGTATGGAGGAGTTTTTGTGTTGCAAACTAACATGGAACTAGAAAATTAAAATCAAGCATACAAAAAATCCTGTTGTCATTTTTAGTGATAAAATTTTTGATCAATTAAGAAAGAACAATAAAATTATTACAAATTATACTCATTGAAGATTATTTGAAAAATTGCCACCAATATAATTCATATTGCATTCTCTTTTAGTCCATTTTTAAGTCTAATTAATATTGATCAAGATCTGTAGCCTGTGGAATTCATGTATTATCACCATGTTATATACAGGTGTGAAACATTTGTAAGTATTAAAGTAATTTTTCTTCTTATTTTCTTGTCCCTCCTATATTCATTGTTGATAAGTCACCACAATAATAATTGCATATGTAAACCCAGTTTCGAATTAATTTTAGGTGTATATGCAAATTAAATGATAGGCACAATTACTGTGTGACTCTTGGAGGAGTTGTATTTTAAAAGTTAAAAGTAAAACTTGCTTTTTCAGAACTAAAGCTGATCTGTTACCACGCTTATTACGATATTACTCCACAAAAAGAAGTGGCAAGAAAGTACCACCAGGAGGCCATTATAGATCTCCTTGGAAGATTCTAAAGGATGAATTTACAAACTTAGATGGTCCCTTGCCAACAGAATTAATACCAAGAGAAGTGGATGCTTTAGTCATAGGGGGAGGTCTTGTGGGCTCATCTGTGGCCTTTTGGTTGAAACATCTTCATCCTAAAGCTTTTTCAGTGGCATTAGTAGAAAGAGATCTAACAGTAAGTATAATGTTATGTCACATGGTTATGTTGGTATATAAAGGCTTAAAAACTCTGCCTCTTACATCTCATCACTTGTCTCAATTCAATTTTAGTGCAGATTAACTAATATAATTTTAGAATTATTGCAGAAGATGCACTCTTCATTACAGGTTAAAGGAGCTTCTGTCCCTTATGTCTTGATTTTGCCTATTTAATGTATTTTCAGTATAGCAGAGCATCAAGTATGTTATCAGCTGGAGGAGTTAGACATCAATTTTCTGTTCCTGAAAATGTGCAACTTTCCTTATTTGCCACTGATTTTTTACGTAATATCAAGCAATACCTTAGTGTTCTGGGTAATTCATTATTTATTAGTAATAATGCTAAATGTTACTTTTTGAAGTTATACTTTGAGAAAGCAAATTTTACTGATATATAGATATGAAGAGTAATTTGAATCTTATATTCACTGAGCTGTTTCCACTATATATCTCATCAAATGTTGAAAAAATACAGATGTGTATTATTAAATTTGTAAAGTTTTATTTATGTCCTTTCTAAATACTTTTTTTTAGATGGGAGGTAACACCAAGGATCATATTGATCAACTGAATTATTTTGGGTTTTCCCTGATCTAAATATGTCAATATTGATTGGAAAAATTACAAAGCCCAGACCTTGTTTTAGTAAGCTGCCCATGCATGCACAATTCAAAATGACCCAATTTCAAAGTTTAAACTGAATAAAAGTTGAAAGGTTTTTCTAACAGAACTTGTACTGATGTCAGACATGTTTTTTTTTTGCACTCATTTAATGGCTAATTCCTAATCAAGTGAGCTCAAATAATTGTTAAAATCATTAAAATTTATATCTTAACTAAACTTATTTATATATATATTTTTTCATCATTTTGTATTTATAGATGAAGAAGATCCCCCAGATGTAAAATTCAATCACCATGGTTACCTATTTCTTACTCCAGAAGATAAAGCAGAAGAACTTGCTGCTCATGTAAAAATGCAGAAGTATGTTTTTGTTACACAAATCAAAATAATACCAATAGTGTTATCTCCCTTTAACACTGACTGTCCTTTAGTACTTGGTGCAGTTGGTGACCATGAACCTTATTATGCTTGACACCATTCCAGGGGTCCTGATTAAGTTACTTCTTTTATCGCTTGCTTCCAGGAGCAATGCGTTTGATTAGAGAGACAATGGTACTGACAGGCTCAATTAAACACCGTACCTCAAACTACCGTGAGGGGACTGTGAATTACCCCCTATTCCTGTCCAACACTGGACTTGCCTCTCAATAACGACTGTCTCTTCTGGCAAGTTTCTTAGGAAATATTTGTGATGTCACCCACTAATTGGACGTTAACCCCCCCACTAACCAACGAATGAATGGTATGTAGTCAATTCTAGGAAATAGCTATGTGAACTCCTCTAGTGGGAAGGAATGATTGGATTATCTAATCTATTTTAAATGGTTTCTAATATATTTTGCAGTGAATTAGGAGCTCGAATCAAATTCTTAACAAAAGATAAATTAGCACAGCAATTTCCATGGTTAAATTTACAAGATGTTGAAGTTGGTTCGTATGGTAGGTATAAAGAGTGACTGATTAATTTGATTAAAGGACCATATGGCTGGATGATTTTAGACTCAATTAAAATGCACGTATTCAGAAATGAATATGCTCCAAGATTTTATTTATGTATTGTTTTAAAGATACATTCCCATGAAAGTACTTATTGGGTAGTTATTTCGAATAAAAGTATGGCAAATTTGGTTGGTAGAAAAAATACTGGATTCCCTGAAACTACCCTATGGTGGTCTCCCCGAGTGACGTAGGGAGTTCTTTTTATGTGTTGATCTAATGACTAATAATGGATGAAAATCCAATACTTTACTTAGACATTGATATTTATGGTAAATGGACAGCGACTAACAACAAATACAAGCTAAAACTGGATTTTCCCTTGATCAAGCCACATGATAAACAAGTTTGAATAAAAATAGACATAATCAGGCCTAGTGCCGTGAAGGTTAGATGTGCCGCAGCATTATTCATACTTTTCTGTACAATTTGTGATAAGGGTAAGGTGTCCTACCTGTAAATCTAACAATTAGATAATATACTCAATCAGTTGGAACAATATTTGACAAAAAAATCAATCCAATCACTATTTTTAATGGAGAATTAATGTGATTTTATTTATGCAGGTCTCCAAGGAGAAGGCTGGTTTGATCCATGGCTCTTGATCAAAAGTTTCTTTCAGAAGAATATCAGTTATGGTGTCAATTATATTCATGGTGAATTAGATCGCTTTAACTTTAAATCACATGCTGTTAGTTCAGGAACTGGTTATATAGACAAAAAATTTTTGGACAGTGCTGTGGTAATTATGATTTTAAGTGTTGTTTTTATATGCATACACACAGTAATGCAGCTGTATATTGCCTCATGCCTGTACATCCATTCATCTGTCTTTCCAATTTCCACATAAAGATTGAAACACACAGAGACTACATTTATCAGTTCTCACTAGTTTTTATAGGCCCACATTTAAGGTAATATCATGAATTGCACCTAACTCTTTTGGATTGCATACTTGTTTTTTTTATAAAAATGTTTGTGAACGAGATATAGGACAGATTATATTACAACTTGGTGAGATTCATTGTGATCGTCAAATCTTTAAATTTACATTTTTTGAATAATAGTTAATAAATATTTGCTTACTTTGTAGAATCTTGTGATTTTTTATGTAGGTAAATGGTGAAGATGGGAATGAATATGGTATTAAATTCTCTCATGTAATTAATTGTGCGGGGCCTTGGGCAGGTGAAGTTGCTAGAAAAGCAATAATTGGTATTGGCAGTGATGTAGATTTAGCCTTCCCTCTACCCGTAACACCAAGGTAAATTTATTATAGCTGCCGAAAGAATACTATGACCTTAAATTGAAATTCCTCTCTCAAACTATCCCAAAACCAAATCACCTTATATTCAGGCTGTATAAACCTGTGGTGGGGTATCAGGTTCAAAAAGCAGAAAGTAAAAAGTAGAAAATCTGAAGTAAACTGGAAAATTATTATCTAAAATGATATTTTTATGGTGAAAACCTAGAACTTAATGTACTTAAACTGCAAAAACATCAAGCTTTTCAACTTTTCATCGACATAAATCTACTTCCATGGACAGGATTTCTACTTTCTACAATGAAAGAAACATTCTGCTTACAAAATAAATTATTTTTTATATTATTTAACTAATCTTGGCTTAATTATTCGAATAAGAAGTATCTCGTGATCCAATGTTTATATGGCTTGTTAATTTATAAGCAGTCGTGTCAAACATTATTGATACTAATGTATTGACTCAAAAGTCATAGGCCTCGACACATTGCAATTATCTGCTTATTTTCAAACATCTAGGCATCAATAACTCCACAAATAAAACAATTTGGGCAACTAAGTTCCGTGTCTATAAAACCTTATTTAAAATGTGTGAATTATTTTTGTAAATAGTTTAGTATATTATAATTACCACTGTTTTGGATTTGGTATAATTTAACTTTTCTTTCGAGCGAAGAAAATGCACCAAATGTCCAGTGTTTAAATCACTGGGTTAGTGACTTTTATGATTGTGGTCTTGTTATCTTCTACCCAGGAGTTTCAGCTTCTAAAATCCCGGTAAAAACTATCACTCCAGTTATCTAAAAGTATTGACAGGTGTAAAGAACGAGATAGGCTATGCTAACTTGTTCGGAACACCTGATGTCCAATGGTCTAAAGTCTAAGGTGTGCATTGTCTCATAAGGTCTGTCATTGAGTCAAGTGGTCTGGATTGGATTCCCGGATTGTACGTGAAAATCAAAAGGGTCGTTTGTCAAATCTCGTAGATTTTCTCCTGTCGCACTGGCTTTACCCTACCGCTAAAGACCCCCTGCGCTCAAGCGAGTTATTGAAATAAAATTGAACCATATGTTAGTCCCGAAATTACCCCATTTCTCTTTCTCCCTGATACCACTTTTTATTTTGAAGAATTAAGACAGATAATACTAACTTTAGTTCTACTGCTGTATTTTGAGATAAATAATTAATCAACATATATCATCACTTTTGTACCGGCATTGTTTATATTTATCTATTCAGCGTACTGTATAATCCCTACTGTATAATCTGGTCTTCATTAGTCTGGCTGGTGTGGAAAAGTAGAACTTAAACTTCAGTTCATTCATTTATTCATTCATTATGTAATGAGACCTAGAATAATGCTGGCAAAATTATGCATTTCTGTGTCTTACAGAAAGCGATAAGGCATTTTCTGCTCAGGGTAAGCAGAGCGATAAGCAATTTGATTGACCAAGACTTTGGAACACGATAACTATCCTTCTAATTGAGCTAGAATATTCAAACATGGTGTAGGAGCTTATTAGGTGAATGCCTTCATGGAGTCCGATGGTGAACTTTGTCTGCTTACGGTAAGCAGAGATAAGCAATCTGATTGGTTGATGCTTTGGGGCACGATAACTTTGGTTCTAATTAAGTGAGAGTGATGAAACTTGGTGTATAGATTCATTATATCAATACCTTGACTATGTTCGATGATGAGATTTTTCTGCTGTGGCTAGGGAGCGATAAGCAATTTGATTGGTCAAGATTTTGGAACATAAAACCTCTGCTTCGAATTGAGGTAGAATGTTTAAACTTGATGTAGATGTTCATTAGGTGAATGTCTTGATTAATTTCAATGATTAATATTTCGAGCTAAAGCTAAGCAGAGCTAAGCAATTTCATTGGTCGATACTTTGGGACAAGATATCTGATAGGGAGTGATGAAACTTAGTGTATAGTTGATAATTAGTTTGATTGCTCGATACTTTTAAAAAAAATAAATGTGCGATTAATTAATATGTGTCATGTATTTATTTTGGGATTTCAGCGGGGGACATCAGCCTCACTGTTGTCTTGTTCATACTAAAAACATTAAATATATATACCAGTCTGGGTTTCAACAAAATGATTTTGCTATTTACCAAATCACTGATATGTATCTCATCAATTTGTAAAGCCATGTTTCTACCTGCTTAGACAAAGGGCATGAGGTAAAAGCTATATTTTTTATATAAAAAAAGCATTTGATAGGGTATGGCATCATGGCTTGATACACAAACTAAACTCACGTATATTGACATAGCTCTCGTACGAGTGTGAACACTTTAATGCCAAGAGTTATCATCCGATTGTTTTCAAATTGATGTATGTTGTTTACATTAGTGAGATAAAGAAGCCTATTTAATTTTAAAAAAAGCTCTTAACATCTAAAGTTATCTGCAGATCTGTATGAAATTTATATGCGTCATTTAAATTGGTAAAAAGGAGAATCCTTTTAAATTTCAGCAATTTCCGTTTATTACGTCTAGAGAATGGCGCTTGTTTCATTTTGTTGAACCTTGTGAACGCTCTAATGCCAAAAGTTATCATCCAATCTTTGTGAAATTTATATGCATTATTTAAATTAGTAAAACGAAGAAGCCTATTGAATTCCATCAATTTCCGTTTATTACGTCTTACAGTTATGGCCTTTGTTGAACCTTGTGAAAGCTCTAACGCCAAAAGTTATCATCCGATTTGTATGAAATTTCTATGCATCATTTAGATTAGTGGAACCATGACGCCTATTGAATTTCAGCAATTTACAATTACTACTTCTAAAGTTAGGGCTCTTGTTTCAGTTTGTTCAACCTTGAAAGTTATCATCCGATATATATGAAATTTATATGCATCATTTAAATTTGTGAAACAGAGGTCTATTGAATTTCAGCAATTTCTGTCGATTATTTCTAGTTATGGCCCTTGTTTTACTTTGTAAACCTTGTGAACGTTCAAATGACAAAAGTTATCATCCGATCTGTATGAAATTTATATGCATTATTTAAATTAGTAAAACGAAAAAGCCTGTCAAATTTCAAAATTTTCTGTAAATTACTTCTAAAGTTAAGGCCCTTGTTTTAGTTTGTACAACCTTGTGAACGACAAAAATTATAATCTGATCTGTATGAAATTGGGGGGTTGGATGGCTGAATGGTTAGCACATGCATGCTGTATCATAAGGTCTGTCATTGGGTCAACTGCCGTGGTTTCGATTCCCCGGTTGTACATGACAAGGAGTAGGATCACCTGTCCAACCTTGTGGGTTTTCTCCGGGTCCTCCAATTGCCTTCCACTGCTAAAGACCCCTTTGCGCAAGCGAATTATTGAAATGAAATTAAACATGTGTTGGTCCCGAAATGACCTAGTTTGTGTCCAGTGGACATTAAACCCCATTTAAAAAAACAAAACTAAATGCCCCCAATTACCTAAAAAAGAATAAATATGTGACAACCCTTGTCGACCACTCAGGCGATTTAGCTGCTGTGGGCGTATGTTTCGTTGCCTGGCAACCTATCTTTCTAATTTTTATTGACGATATTACAAATGATGTTAGCTCCCGATTAACATTATTCGCAGATGATACTTCGTTATTTTGATCATAGATAATCCCCTCAACACCCTTAATACTTTAAATAATGATCAGAAGATAACTCATGTTTGGTCAGAAAAGAGGAAGGTCGAATTCAACCCAGACAAAATGATCAGTCTTACATTTAGTAGACCCCCACCCCCGCTTTGCTTGTCGCTTCTTCTAACAATATCCCATTATATTATGTAAATACTCATAAACATTTAGGTGTTATTTTTAACAAAGATTGTAAATGGGATAATGATGTGGATTTTTTAATTAGTATAACCTCAATCATGGTCGACTGATAAATTTAAACCATTGCATAATCATAAGTGTTTTGTATAATTCTCTTATTCTTTCTATATTTACAAAAGTTAGGAAAACTCTACCTAGATGCATTTACAATCGATAACTGCCCTACCTTCTGGAACCTCAAATAATACACTTTATATTAGATCTGGATTCTCATAAATTAATGTTTTATAAAATGGTAAATAACATAGCTCCCATTTATCTCTGTTGTCTTATTCCACCAATTACCTCCTCTAACAACCCTTACAACTTACGTAATTCTGACCACATTACACAAATTAAATGTAAAACTAATATTTATAAAAACTCTTTTTTGTCTTCTACTATAAAAACGTGGAATAGTTTAGTAATGATATAAAAAAGGCTTCATCTGTCTCTGATTTTAAAACTAAACGGTATCCAACCTGATTCCCTCAAATTAACAAACTGTTTCTTTGGTGAACGACAATTTCAAATTATCCATTGTAAAAGTTTTAGTTTTAGTATTTTGTTTTTTTTGTTTAAGTTTTAGTTTAAGTTTTAGTTTTTTTTGTTTTTTTTTTGTTGTTTAGTTTTAGGTTTTTATGTTTGTTTTGTTTATTTTTTAATTTAATTTAAAATTTTATTTATTTATTTATTTATTTATTTATTTATTTTGATTTGATTTGATTTGATTTGATTTGATTTGATTTGATTTGATTTGACATTGCAGGATTTGTTGATTTTGGAAGTGCTGTTGACTTTGCTGTCTATGTCTGAACTCAGATTCCCACTTGTATATTAATGTTATGGTATCAATATTTGAAAACTAGACCTTTAACTTGTTACATGGCCATAAAACAACTGTGAGGACTATTATAAACACATGGTGGAATATTGGAGATAAACCAAAAAATCAACATTGTAGTCCCCACAATCTTCACTTATTTATGTCCAAGACTCAAGACGTCAGACATCTTGTTATCAACGATCAACCCGAATGGCTCAGGGACACTCTCGTCAAAGAATTAAACATTTATTTCCACGACAGTATGACTTAATAACCTTGGATTGGAAAATATATTTGTAACATAACATATATAAATATAGAATTGGTTTTATTTTTTTTATTTTTTTGAAAGGAAACGTTTTGTGTATGTTGTGAATTGCCCAAATGGTCCTGGTTTAGAAACCCCTGTCCTAATAGATCCTGCAGGTGTATATTTTAGAAGAGAAGGTTTAGGTGGGAACTATATTTGTGGAGGTACACCATCAGAGGTAGGTAAATATACTTTGTAAGTTGACAAGCACTGTTGGCAATATGTTGAATATATTAACTTGTACATTGTAATTCAGGTGTGTGTATTTTAAAGCGGTAATAAGTCTGTGCAAGCCAGAAGAATTTGTTGTCATTAATCAACTTTTAACCATAGTAATGATTGAATATGCAGGTTTTAATATTTTAAAATTTTAACAGTCTAAGCTCTGATATTTGCATTATATTTGAATTATTGTATAATGTCAATTGTTTATCTCTGTGTAACATCACATACTACAAACAAACATTATTTTGGTAGCCAGTATGTTTAAGATTTTTTTAAATGTTGTATTTGAGTAATGTAGAGCTTTGTAAGATTAAATGCATTTGTAGATGAACCATATAAAGTATGTTTTAACACTAAAGTCAGAACATGTTTGGTTTTTAAAAATGAAAATATTGCTACTTAAATGTATATACCTATCTGAATTTTAATTAGTCTGCCTTCATAAACAAGAATGGTTTATCATTTCATACAATCTCTACATTTTCATTAGTTCGAACACAATTAATATTAAATAGGTTTAATTAAAATTTTGAAGGTCGTTTAGTTTTATGATATCTCTTTGTTTTCATTAATATAACAGACTGAAATTGATATAGTTTAGAAATATATTTTGCAAACAATATTTGTTTTAATGTTTGTGCTTGCAATTTAATACACTAATTAAAATTTAAAGGTATAGAATTTTAGATTTCATAAATATTTGTTGGTTAAATAAGCCGTATTTGTAAAGTTTAAAGGAACTAAGTCGCTAATAGTTGGGACCTAGAAATTGACACAAATGGGTCACATTGCATACAATAATGTAATATGAATGTATATAAATTGATTTACATTTGATCGTTTCTGTTTTTACTGTAATTTCTAATTAGTTAGGTTCGGCGAAATACACCAGTATTCTCAATCAAATTTCAATCTCTAGCGTCTGGTTATTCCAGTTTACGCCGATAGTATTTATTGGGCATGCTCTCCAGATAAGAATATAGCGTCACCGTTTAACATGATTTGTGGAATATGCCTAGCCTTGTTTATCGAGTCCTTATTACAAATAGCGCTGAAACGCACTATGGTACACGATTCGTGTACCAATTGTAAAATGTTTATTTTGTCTTAAATACTGGATATCAGAAGGCCATCTTTTCCCGTTAAGATCACAACATCAATGTTGATTTAAACAGACAAATAATTTGTGTTTTCAATGTCGAAGATTTTGGATGATATTGAGTTAGAGACTTAGCTACTTTAACAAAATTAAATGTCATATTTAATGTACTTTCTATAATTCTGGGGCATGTTTCACAAAAGCTGCCTAAAGTTGTATATTAACATAAGGGGGGAGGTTTAATTACATAGGCTGAGTCTGTTTCCTGTTTGGTTAATGTTTATGTAAGTCTTATGTGGGCTTATGAGACCCTGATTGCATGAATTGACTTGGGTTGAATTATTATCTGGTTTTGTTAATTTTTATAGGAACGGGAGCCATCAACAGAAGACCTGTCAATAGATTATAGTTTTTTTGAAGAAGCTGTAAAGCCCCAATTAGAATACAGAATTCCAACACTTAAAAACTTAAAGGTATATTGAAGACCAGATTCCTTTGAAAGAAGGAATTATGAGTAGGCTTATATATGTCACTAAGGCAATGTGTGTCTGTCTGTAGCCTTCAGCTTCTGTTAGCGAGAAAAAGTCATCTGCCAAAATTGTGGTTGACATTTAAGGATTTCTTTCCTTCTTTTATTTACTTTGAGCTGACTAATAATTTTTGGTCTATAATTTTGTTTTTACATGCTCACTTTTTTATGTGGACGTATATTTTTGTCGCCTCTGTGCGTCCGGACATCTGTCCACACTTTGTTTGTGGAGACTCTACAGGTCACAATTGTTATCCGATTTTAATGAAACTTATAATATAGGTTTATCTCCCAAAGATCTTGGTTCCTGTCGATATTGGCATATATCAGATCGTAACTGCATAGATTATGCCCACTGATTTACGAAAAATCATGTTTTTATCCGATTTTTTATCATTATGGATTGTTCAGAAATTTTGCATACTTATTCCTTATACCATAAGAATGATTCCTGTTGTTTTTGGTGCATGCCCGAACCCCAGGGTCAGAACCACATGCATTTTTTGTATTTGTTTATTTGTCACCTGCAGGCCACAATTCTTAATGGATCTTCTTGACACTTTGCATACTTATTCCTTATAACCTTAGGATCACTCCTATTATTTTTGGTGCATACCCAACCCCCAGGGGCAGAGCTAAGGCCCATTTTCTCTTTGTGTGTCTGTGTGTTGTCTACAGGCCACAATTTTTAATGGATCATCTTGGAACTTGGTATATGTATTCCTTATAGCCTAAGGATGACAAATATTGATTCTGGTGCATGCCCAGACTCCCAGGGGCAGAGCCACACCCAATTTTTGTGTTTATTCTCTACAGGCTGTAATTCTGAATGGATCATCTTGAAACTTGGCACATTTATTCCTTATAGCCTATGTGTCGCAACTATTGATTTTGGTGCATGTCCCGACCAATTCTGGATGGATTATCTTGGAACTTGGTATACTTATTCATTACACCCTAAGGAAATCAACTATTGATTTTGGTGCATGATCCGCCCCCCTGGATGTGCCTGTAAATAATCTGCAGGATGCAGTTATTAACAGATTTGGATCCAATTCAGTATGATCCATCATAGGGTTGTACCTATTTATATCGGTCCATGTCCAACCCCTGGCGGCAAAGCCATGACCATTTTTTGTGTTTATTTGTACAGGCTAGAATTCTGAATGGATCATCTTGGAACTTGGCATATTTATTCCCTATACCGTAAGGTAGCAACTATTTATTTTGGTGCATGTCATGATCCCCAGTGGTGTCATACGACACTCACTTTTTGTTAATTTTTTTTTTTGTAAATACTCTACAGGTTGCAATTATTAACAGATTTTGTTCAAATTCAGTATGTCAATCATTTCAATAACAGAATTGTACCTATTTATATTGTTCTATATCCAACCCGCAGGGGCAGAGCCACGCCCAATTTTTGTGTTTATCATCTACAGACTGCAATTCTAAATGGATCATCTTGGAACTTTGCATATTTATTCCTTATATCGCAATGACAGCAACTATTTATTTATTTAGTGTCACATATAACTGTGTCAGTTTTGTAGTGTCACACCCACTTTTTTGTTAATATTTAGTCTGTAAATTTGGCAAAACAAACCCCAACGCCTAGCCTTCTTTGCCTCTTGTCATATTACAGTCATTGCAGCCAATTCATATTTCATGCTCTTCATTTTAAAAAGTATGTTGTCAATCAAAGCAGGAATGTGGACGTATATTGCAGTGGTAGCGATGCTCTTGGGTTTTTTTAGCTTGTTCTCTATCTATCTCTTGCAAAATGTGGGCGTATCTTGCCTGGCAACTGCTGGTTCTACATTCTAAGAAATTTCACAGCCTAATTTTAGTTAAAAATAAGTTTTTAAGTTTCTCCAGATAATTAACATAACTTAAAATTCATTCAAGTCCCTGTTTCGATGACTATGCTGCTGGTTGGTGTATTAGGTGGTTGGAAATGCCTTTGTTTAGACATTGATGTAGCTGCTGTGGAGTAGATATTGTAAAAACATGAATTAACATGTGAGGAGTTTGCAGAATAAATCTTGCTTATATGCTGTTTGTTCATTCCTCTTTACAAAGACTGTAATTATGCCCCCTTGTCAGAAAAACTATTCCTCTGTTTGAATTATCTCCATCAACAAAGGACCTTTGGTACTGATGTATATATACTTTGGTACTGATTTTTATATACTTTGGAATGTAATTTAGATAACAAAAAGCAAAAATCTGTTATTGTATTAATTCTTTTAAATTTCTGTTATAGTTGAAGAGTGCTTGGTCATGTTACCATGACTACAATGAATTTGATGAGAACCTTGTGATTGGACGACATCCATTTCATAATAATTTTCTGTTTGCTAATGGATTAGGTGGACATGCTGTACAACATTCTATTGGTGTAGGGAGAGCTATAGCTGAATTAATCATGGCTGAAGATTACAAATCTATAGATTTGTCAAAATTTGGATTTGACAGATTCCTCAGAAATGATTTTATAAGCGAGGAGATGAGAACATGATATGGGAAGATTTTAAGAATCTCTTGTTTTATAAGAATATCATAGTCAGGAAGAGATTGTATAATTTTGGACATAGACTTGAACTGTGGATGTTTTTTTCAAATATTTTTTTTGTATAAAAATCTGGATTTGTTTTACCACTAAAACATCTCATCTGAAGAAAGATTGCTGTGTGAAATACAAAAGTGTTATCAAATAATATGTTGAAAGTGTTTTAAATATTATAATATTGGACAAAATATCGAAGGAATTATTTTAGTTGTTGATTTTTTTTTCGCCCTCAGAATTTAGTGACTTAGTTGAAGACGACGTGGAGAGGACGTGGAGAACTCTCGTAAAGTGAGGTGTGAGAAAGCTGGAGACTAATTGTCGGAGGACATCCGTACTGGGTTCTCGGCGATACACAGGGGTTTATAGAGAAGACGATGTATAATGAGACACAACCTCCGTAACCAGTATAAGTCAGATGAACTCCATTAATGTTACCAAGAGGTTTATTAATCAAATGTTTCGGACATGAGGAGTCCTTCTTCAGTAATAATTGCTTATCATTCATTCGTTCCTTCCTGGAGTTTTACGTCCACTTCCACCAATGTTGATTTCGTAGACATGTTTGGTTATGTGAATCGTGTGGTATTTATAGTAGAATAATTGTGACGTCAGTGGAACGTTTAAGAATAATTTGGAGTGATTTGAAGTAATCCTGATCCGTTCTGAATGATCAGGATTATTAGTGATTAATTTGGAAGAATATTGATCGAATAAATGTAATTTAATTAGTATTCTAAATACCGTACGATTCACGGTAATAATACGATTATGGTGAAAGATATTTATAAAAAGATATAAATTAGATAGAAACATATATGGAATTACAAATGAAAACAATGTTTACAGTTATAGATAAACACATTAAGCTTTTTTAAAACACAATGTCGTATTTCTCCAGTATAGTATTGAAACATAGATCATGATACTTCATCGTTGTCCGAAACTGAGTAGGTGGCAAATTCCACTTCGGTTGTTGGATTTTCGTTGACGGTTATGACTTCTTGGTTCTCCAATTCGGCATTCATGGCGGTCATGGAGTTATCTGTGTTTATGATAATTGCCATTGACTGTGTTAGAGATGCTAGGAATCCTCTTTGGAGTGCGAGTTCCTGCCTCAAAAGGCAGAATCCATTCTCTCAGATTCTCTGGGGTACATAATGTAGAGGCGCCGACCACAGATCTGTTACGAGAAGGATCCATAATGACTTTTTGTCCCCCGCCTTTCGAAGAAAGCAGGGGACTATTAAAATGGGTTCGTCCGTCTGTCTGTCCGTCCGTCTGTCTGTCCGTCCGTCTGTCTGTCCGTCACACTTTTTGGGACACAATAACTCTCTTCCTAATTGAGCTAGAATGTTCAAACTTGGTGTATGTGTTTATTAGGTCAATGCCTTGATGGAGTTTGAAGATGAGCATTTTCCGCTTAGGGTAAGCAGAGATAAGCAATTTGATTGGTTGATGCTTTGGGACACGATAACTCTCTTCCTAATTGGGCTAGAATGTTCAAACTTGGTGTATGTGTTGATTAGGTCAATGCCTTGATGGAGTTCGAAGATGAGCATTTTCCGCTTAGGGTAAGCAGAGATAAGCAATTTGATTGGTTGATGCTTTGGGACACGATAACTTTTAATTGAGCTAGAATGTTCAAACTTGGTGTATGTGTTTATTAGGTCAATGCCTTGATGGAGTTCGAAGATGAGCATTTTCCGCTTAGGGTAAGCAGAGATAAGCAATTTGATTGGTTGATACTTTGGGGCACGATAACTCTCTTCCTAATTGAGCTAGAATGTTCAAACTTGGTGTATGTGTTGATTAGGTCAATGCCTTGATGGAGTTCGAAGATGAGCATTTTCCGCTTAGGGTAAGCAGAGATAAGCAATTTGATTGGTTGATGCTTTGGGACACGATAACTTTAGTTCTAATTAAGTGAGATTGATGAAACTTGGTGTATAGATTTATTATATGAATACCTTAACTAAGTTCGATAATGAACATTTTTTGCTGAGGGTAAGCAGAGTGATAAGCAATTTGATTGGTAGAAACTTTGGAACACAATAACTCTCCTTCTAATTGAGGTAGAATGTTCAAACTTGGCATAGGTGTCTATTAGGTGAATGTTTAAACTTGATGTATATGTAGATGTTCATTAGGTGAATGTCTTGACTGAGTTCAATAATTAACATTTCGAGCTGAAGCTAAGCAGAGCTAATCGATTTCATTTGTCGATGGTTTGGGACAAGATAATCTTGATTCTATCTGATAGAGAGTGATGAAACTTAGTGAAAAAAATAAATGTGCGATTAATTAATATGTGTCATCTATTTATTTTGCAATTTCGGCGGGGGACATCAGCCTCGCTGTTGGCTTGTTTTTTTCATTTAATGGATCTTCTGAGCTGAGATATTGTCGTGCATTTAAGGTGAAGATATAAATTCGGGCGCCATCTGTATCGGCGGCCGCATTCAAATTCAGTGACTTTGACTATCAGTAACATCAAAGGAACAGGTTAAAAAGCTAGTCAAAAAGTGCCAATAATTTACCGAATTAAACCTCACAAAAATACAGTACAGCATTAAAAACCCACCTTATTCCACTACCACTCTATCCCACTATGTCTGGATTTGATTAAAGCCAATTTGACCTAATCTGGTCATTATTTCTAGTGTAACTGGAAATTAAGTTTTTGACAAGTCACTACAGTGGGATGAAAATATTCTAACTTTGTTGCGCCAATTCTTGAATATAAAGAAACGAGTCTGGTTTTGAAGCAAACACTCCAGTGGCCGGTTCGATGTGACATTGACTCACAATTGAGATTCAAGTTGCCAAATATACTGTTAAAGTTTTAAGGGAATTCATTCACTGAATGACGAAAGTTTTGAGTTAAAAGAATGCCAAAGACCATGCTGATGTTTAGAACTCCGGGTCGTAAGTAGCTTAGAACAACGAGGGGGGCGGGAAGTGTTCTCAGTGGTGCTGTAAAATTGAGGGACAATGTATATCTATTGTCCCCCCCCCCCCTTAGTTACAGTCTAATAGAACTACGATTTAGAGTTGGGTAGATTATAAAGTTTTAGTAAGAATCAATTGGGTAAGAATCAACAAACCCCATCTTGTATTTTTTCCATGGCAATGATTAAATGCATTGCTTTTAGGTTTCAATATAACCTGTCTGCTAATATTAATTTCTTTACACAGAATATATATAATAATAAGGTTGAATCACTATATATTGGTCCTAATAATCATAATATATTAGTCACAAAAATACTGCTCATCAGTGAAATCTGTTCTACATAAAACTAGTAATATATTTGATTTCTGTAACAGTGTATATGTAAATTCAGATATGACTTGACTTTTGATATTTTCATACACATATATAATTAATGTGAATTTTCATGCAAATGAGGTACACTTTATGCATATTTTTATATGAACATTATATATTTAACATATATTGTAAATATAGTGCATTTTAAAACCTGTATAAATACGAAATTTTTTTTTATATATATATATATTAAAAAACATGTTTGCCAAGGTTTTTTTTATATGCCTAAATGGAAGTGAACACTTTTGGAAGTGGAGATTGGGAATTAGGTAACTGAAATGAAATGGTTAACAAGCCTACTTTCCCGTTCCAATGCCATGCAGTGAGTTATTACGAGAGTAATTTTGCCCGTATAGCGGTTCTACAACCTATCTGCAAATGGTAGCTGCCATCTTGGCACTATTTTGTGCGTCGGTCGTGTCTATTTTAGATATACACAATCAATTCTGTTGATGTTTTTAGCGTTGGGATTGACTAATAGTTAATTTATTTCAGTTCTAAAACAAATATTTTAAACTTTAACGCAAATTTAGAAAATAGCCAAATTCTGGCTGGGGATTACTGAGCAAAATGGCCATTCACTGTTTACGTGCGAAAAAAAGGCTAGCCACCAATTAATTTTCGTACGTTAGTTACGTACGGCTAAAACGTGATATTTCGTACCATCAGGGTCATAATCCAGACAGTTACGGTCCAATAGGGGCCAATATCGAAAGGAAACCAGACCTTTGAGATATATCAGATTGGATGGAAATTCGAACCTCTGGGTGGTCCACAACCTGGATATTACATGCAGCCATAGATAATACCGGTATTATCTATGATGCAGCGGAGATTTTGTCAGGCAGTTTCCGTCCGATTTTTATGAAATTTGCACTCAACCGTAATTATGGTGTAACGTATTTTTTTACAATCAAATAAAAACTGTGAGCTCTAAAGGGTCCACAAGTTACAAATGTATACATAGGAAGTGACGATCCTATATGCGCCAATATCGAAACAAACCGAGATCTTTCGGTTATATACAAAATCGTATAAAAATTGTGACCTCTAGAGTGTCAACAACCTTGTAGGAAACCACCATCGACTGTATGGGTTTGCATGGTCAGGGATTTAGAAAAGGAATAACATTTCACTTCATTTACTGATTAATTTTATTAGCCGGAACTCGCTCAGAAAGTGCAAAAGATTATCCCTATTGTTTTTGGTGAATGACCGACTCCCAGGGACAGAGCCACACCCATTTGTCTGTGTGTTGAATACAGGCCACAATTCTTAATGAATGGATCGTCTTGGAAATTGGCATATGTATTCCTTATAGCAACTATTGATTTTGGTGCATGTCCCAACCCCCAGGGACAGAGCCATGCCCAATTTTTGTGTTTAGCGAATGAACGCTACAATTCTGAATGGATTATCTTGGAACTTGGTATGCTTATTCCTTATACCCGAAGGACGGCAACTATTGATTTCGGTGCATGATCCGCCTCACTTGGGCGGTGCAATACCCACCCACTTTTTGTTAATATCTGTCTGTAAGTACATGTAATCCACAGGCTTCAATTATTAACAGGTTTGGATCCAATTCGGCATGATCCATCATAGGGTTGCACCTATTTATATTGGTTCATGCCCAACCCCCAGGGACAAAGCCACGCCCAATTTTTGTGTTTTTTGTCTACAGGCTGGAATTCTGAATGTATCATCTTGGAACTTGGCATATTTATTCCTTATACCGTAAGGATAGCAACTATTTATTTTGGTGAATGTCCCTAACCCCTAGGTGTGTGGCACCATACCCACTTTTTTGTTAAAGAAGCTAAATCGCTAATATTTGGGATCTAGAAATTTACACAAGTGGGTCGCAACGCATATAATAATGTAAAATGAATGTATATAAACTGATTTTTCTGTAATTTCTAATCAGTTATGTTCGGTGAAATACGCCAGAAGTCTCAATCGAATGGCAATCTCTAGCGTCTGGTTACCAATAGTAAATTATTGCGCATGCTCTCCAGGTAAGAATATGAGGTCAACGTTTGACATGTCTGGCCTCCTTTTTCGAGTCCCCTGTTACAAATGGCGCTGAAACGCATGGCATACACGACTCGTATACCAATGGTAAAATGTTTTTTTTTTGTCTTAAATATTGGATATCATAATCCCATCTTTTCCGTTAAGAACACAACATCACTGTTGATTTAAATTGATAAATAATTCGTGTTTTCAATGTCGAAGATTTTGGATGATTTTTTGCCTGTAAATACTCTACATATTGCAATTAAAAAGAGATTTTGTTCAATTTCAGCATATGAATCATTTAAACGATCAAAGCAGGAATGTGGACGTATATTGCAGCGGTAGAGATGCTCTTGTTATCTGTTACAATGTAGCAGGGTTCTTTAATGATTAATGAAGATCCAGGTCACGGGTTCAGATTTTATTGCGGATCTTTATGACAATAGGTATGAATATAAAAATGTATGTAAAAATCAAGAATAATAATAATTTACATTATATACATATATTAAAAATGGTGTCGGGAAGTCATTTATTTGAAACAAAGGAATGTAAAGCAGGGTTTATAAAATGGCGACCTTGTTGACAGATAATTACAATGGACTATTAAATAATAAATACATACAAATACATACCCTAGAAAATAGGAGTTTAGGGTGGTATATGTATTTCCAAAAGCTTTACCATATAAAATACAGGATTGAAATTAAGGATATTAATAATTTAACACTAAATCGCTGAGAATAGAATATTCTCAATTACACAACTATAACTATGATTCAAATATAAAATATATACTGATTATATTAGGATTTAATGGATAATTTACACAGCAGGTAGGACACTAACACATCTAGTACTTAGAATAAGGCTATTTTTTATTTTCTGGAGCTGTCAAGCCAGGAAGAGTGTTATTGTCCCTTTAAAAGTGAGAGAGATTAGAATTGCTACTGTAAAGATGTCGTTGACGAGCTTAGAGATGTAATATTAAGGGACAATACCAAAAACACCAAATACACAATAAATACCCAGTATACAAATACCCAAGATACAATAAATACAAATATACACAGTGCCGGACTGGTGGGCCGTAGGCCCACCTGTCAGGTCATTGGAGAAGGCCCCCAGGAAAATTTTGAAAATTGACAACCGCAAACCCATTTTCCAAGCATTTCAGACCAAAGCAGTAGTAGGCAAATTTTTGATTTCCTGATACAATTAGATAACAGAATGACCTAAGAGCACTATCATTAGATGAATTTGAGAATTCTCTTCAGTGTCAAAAACAAAAACCTTTTATTCTCAGTTTTTGGCGATTATTTCTGCGATAATGACTCATGAAGAACTAAGTAGAGGTTAAAAGATGAATTACACGGTTCTCGGTATATTGAGGTCAAACTCATAATGTTCTTTCCTTGTAGTACACTTCTTTTTTTTGTGATGTTTGTCAGTCATTTTTTTCCTATCTTTTCTTTCTCCTGTAGTGTGTCAAGTCCTCCCCTTCCTTCTTTCTTTTCTCCCCCCCCCCTCTCCTTTCTTTCTCTTTTCTTTTTTCTTTTTTCTTTCTCTTTTTTTTATTATAGGCTTAGGCCCACTGAATATACACTAATATACACTACCACATACGTGTACAGACAAAATGGTTAAAGCAACCAATGCCCTGGCTGTATATCCAATACCATATATACTCTTCAAAAAACAAGTAGGGGGTATTGAAATAAAAATACCTATCCAGGTTGCGATATGACAAATAGTCATGGACATTTGACATGCTTTGAGGGTATGTTCACAGATGAAGAACTTATCGCCCCAACAAAATCACTGAGCTGCATGTGCGACACGCAATAGCGCCATACACGTGGGAGGGGTTCATTGTCAAATTCGACACTTCAAGGAAGGGTTCATGAAAACTGCCGCGTGCTGGTTTATCTATCTAGTTTTGCTTTCCTATCGGTTCTTGCATAAGATTTACTGTTTAGCGTATCTTTGCTTTAGTGTGTTACGTTTAATTTGATCGGGAGACGTTTTCGTCGACGTCAACGTCAACCGACTGTTATGTGGGTTTAATCCCACTGGGGGTGTCACTATTTCTCAATCTTTAACTCTCAATAAAGAAAACACCATTCAATGATCCACATGTTTATTCTCTTCCCCCAAGGGCAGATCACTCATACAAAGTAGAAACATCAATAATTCTTTTTATAAATCAAAGGCAAAGACAGTTAAAGGGAGGTAACTCTTTCAAGCTTAACTAAGATTCAGACCACAATTAACTACTTATGTAACTAGACTTATCACTATATAACATCCCTCCCTCCTAAGTCAAAAACACAGTTTTTGGAAAAACTAGTTTGACAATACATATCATCTATGTTTGTATAAGTGCTTAAAAATACTAATGTGTAACATATATTACAAGGCATGAAACTTTGAACAAATCAAAGACATCAAAAAAAATGAGTAAACAAATCAGAATAGGTTTATTCAAGTGCTCCAAAACCCCCAAAAGCATGTAGTATATATTACCAAGAAAAGATTGCTCTAAAATATGCGATACAGGTGGGTCTATGAATAAACACGATTCAGAGATGTTAGAATAACACTTATGTTATAATCCTCAAATGAATGTAAAACAATAATTATTATAACAAGGTTTGATATTTGCTTAGGCTACCAGTTACTTGTAGTTTATTATCATTGATAAGTCCATTGGCTACATTAAACAAAACAGGAGATGAGTTAACTGGTATCCAGGAAGAAGTTTGACCTTTCTTGACATTAGAGGTAGTTATCAAAACTTGCAATGAACCACATTTGAACCTAGCTTTATGCAGTTCCATAGAAGACACATTAGACATTTCCTGTAACATCTTACATTGTTCTGATAACTGATAGTGTGATAACTTATCTACATAAGCAATATTATGATTATTTGTACCATTTGGAAGATAATGACAAATATTAATAGGATTTGTAGACCTATTAGAAACAATATCACTCTCATCAAATCTAGGTAAGATAACATCACATTCATCCGTAATGAAACATTGATTAGTTTCAGTTAAAACAGTAAGATTGTCATTGTTAGGAATATTACCTAACTCTTTCTGAAGTTGATCAATGTGGGTAATTTTTGTCTCAAAATTA